AAGAGTGGCGATCCGTATTGTTTTGGTCCATATTCTCCGTAGAGTCCCATTTTTATTGGTTAGAGCTTGAGTTAAGAGCATTTCCACCGGGAGGCCCTAGGGCAAGAGGCCCCCATGCTCCCAAATGTGTTTCCAACGCCCAAGTCTTGGTAGGACAAGAGCTGGGTTTCACTAACGTGGGCAAGTCCAAAGGCAAGACTTGTCTGGACTGCTGCTTGGGTAAGCTGACATAATGCTGACGTCAGTAGCCAATTTAAATAACAAAAAAAATGAAGAAAATGAAGAAATTTCATAATTCTTTTTTAATAAATAACTAACCATATTCTTCGTGGCGATCCGTATTGTTTTGGTCCATATGCTCGGTAGAGTCCCATTTTTATTGGTTAGAGCTTGAGTTAAGAGCATTTCCACCGGGAGGCCCTAGGGCAAGAGGCCCCCATGCTCCCAAATGTGTTTTCAACGCCCAAGTCTTGGCAAGACAAGAGCTGGGTTTCACTAACCTGGGCAAGTCCAAAGGCAAGACTTGTCTGGACTGCTGCTTGGGCAAGCTGACATAATGCTGATGTCAGCAGCCAATTTAAATAACAAAAAAAATGAAAAAAATGAAGAAATTTCAGAATTCTTTTTTAATAAATACCTAGCCATATTCTTCACTTCCCACACCAAAACTCTATACAAATTCCTCTCCTCATATCTCATGTGAATAGTGGTTGCCCTTGAATTGCTATTGCAATGGGTGAAAAACCAATTAAAAAATTGCTAAGGTAGACACTATTCATGTAAATAGTAACAACCATTGCCTCCTCTTATCTTTTACCATGACAAATGGATGGAAATGCTCTAAGGATTTAACTCACACCCTAACCCATTTGAGCCCAATGTGTCTCTACGAATTCAAAGGATATGATGAAGATAATGAAGATAAATGGAAAAGTTTAAAGCATTTTGTCATTTCAAATGTTTATTAATTACTTAAAAAGAAAATCATTATACATTGATGCTATATGCAATCTCAGCCATTGGATACTCTTTAATCTAATGATCATAAAAAGTGTGTCATAATATGTGTTAAAAAAGTGTGTCCCCAATTCTGGCCCTCGAATAAAACTTTATTCATCTATATATAAAAAGCAAAAGGCAGAGAATGGTAAAACATTTAAAATACCATAAATGACATTTGTTAATGCAAACAATAAGAATTGAAATTATTAATTAAATGAGGATAATGTGGTAAATTCACACTTTTTCATATTTTAAAAAAAATTAAAAGAAAAATCATATAATGGATCCTATTTTTATAGAACACAACTACCCATTATCTTTTCTAATTCTAAAATAAATTTAAAATTTTTAAAAATCTGGCAGGCGCGGAGGCTAGTTTTCTTAATTAAAGATGTTTTATTACCATCACTGATAGAAGTTTTACGTAGATTGATTTTGATTTTCCTTATAGAAATTTATCAAGGGTGTTTTACTGACATAAGTTTTACATAATTAATTGTTTTGAATTTCAAATTTTTTTTTTTAATCATAGACAAACTTTCCAATTTTTTTTAACCACAAATTTCCTTAAATTAATAAAAATGACTAAAGCTTTAAAATTTGGGGTGATGGGTCTGAAATATGTTTATTTATGTGTCTGAAAATATTTTATTATTTATAAATAGTGTAAAGTAAATCAAACTTTTTCATTTTTTGTTTCTTATTTTACCTTTTCTTTTGAATTTTTGTTTTGTGATTCATTCAATCTCCGCATCATAAATTGAGAAATTACATATTCAATTAAGTAGAGTAGATATCATGTGGTGGTTAGTACACTTGTTTTCCAAGTTTTAAGGATTTTGGGTTCTTTCTTTCTCTTCACCTGTTAATTGATTCTCATCTACCATTGTTAACATCCAAATGTTGATGTTTGCCTCACTTTCTCTGATATTTAGGTACCCCATGATCTTCTCTTTTTACTTATCTTTTGTGCCTTAAATTTATTTTTCTCTCTTGTTATTTTTATAAAATAGGTTAATTTGGAAACTATTTATTTATTTTTCAATTTGTGTCGATCCCCTTTTACTGTTAGTTATGTCCATTAATCCATCAAATTGAGGGTTATGTTTGTCCTTTTTAGTTCAAACTTATTTTAACCCACCTTCATTATGTATGACTCGAGCCTCTCACTTGATTTCATGATTTGCGTATCTAATCGAGAATGAGGATCTCACCTGATTAATTGAGAATGAGGATTTGAGGTTGAGAAATTTGAAGTCAACGCTTGGTTATCACATCAATTGAAGTATATGTCCCCAAAAATTAGTCATGCGCGTTGCACATGATGGAAACTAGCGGAAATGGAAAATCTCTGGTCCAATAGGAACTAAGACTGACAACCCATACTGGTTAAAAGTGCTTCTAACGTACCAAACAAATACTTTTGGTATAGCTAAGTTGGTTGAAAAGGTTGAGCAATGGCCCTGAATTATAGATAATGTTCCACTTTGCTCTTTGAACTTCCAATTTGGTACTAAAATTCCTAGAACTTCCAATTTGTCCCTTTTAGTTCAAACTTGTTTTAACTCACCTTCACCATGTATGACTCGAGCCTCTCACCCGATTTCATAACTTGCGTGTCTAATCGAGAATAAGGGTTTGAAGTTGAGAATATTGGAGTCAATGCTTCTTTAAGACATCAATTGAAGTATACGGCCTCAAAAATTAGTCATGTGCGTTGTGCATGATGGAAACTAGTGGAAAGTTGTATCAACAAAGCTGAATGTTTGAGGGATATCGACACAAACTCAAATTTGAGAAGGTAAAAAACAAATTGAAAGTTCGGACGGCAAAGTGGAACAAAGTTCAGGGGCCATGGTTAATTTTTCCACCTATTTTTTAATAGTTGTAGAATAAAGTAAGAAAGACATCACGGCCCCAAAGAAGTCAGCCATTGGCTATTAGAACCAGCAATAGTGACAATGGTGATCGATAAAGGTAGAGGTAGAAAAGTAGAAGAAAATGTAGCTAGCCAACATTACTTTCCAATTTTATTTTTTTTCAATTGATTTTAATGTTCACAAGTACTTCGTTTAATGTTTTATTTGATAATAAAAGAAAACTTTCCTTAGTTAAAGATGTTTTATTACCATCACTCATAGAAGTTTTAGGTAGATTGATTTTGATTTTTTTTTTTCAAGTGATTTTCTTTAATTTATCAAGGTATTTTACCATCCATCCATGGCAGAAGTTTTACATAATTAAAATTGTTTTAAATTTTCACTTCTTTTTTTTAATCATAGACAAACTTTCCAATTTTTCTTTTTAAACACAAATTTCCTTAAATTAATATAAATGAATAAAGCTTTTAAATTTTGGGTGATGGGTCTGAAAATATTTTTTTGATTTGTAAATAAGTAAATCAAACTTTTTAATTTTGTGTTTCTTATTTTACCTTTTAATTTTGTGTTTCCTATTCCTATTCCATTTGGGAATAGGAAAGAAAATATATATATTTTTTAATTCCATGTTTACGCGTGGCTTTTTAACTTTATGACGCGTATTACTGATACAAGTTTGTTTCACAAAGCTTCAGTACCAGCCAAGTCACAGCACAGCACCGACCTTCATTTTGAACATAAAAAAGAAGACCGTTAGCGCCAGAACGCATACATTCCCCTCCTTTTATCGTCTCTTTCTTTCTCTCGCTCTGTTTCTCTGCGAACCCTAAATCCTGAACACCACACTGCACTCCTTAGTTTCCAAAACTCTCTCTTTCTTTCCCATTCTCTCTGTTCTCTGCAACGAGCGAGGCGAGTTTTGGGTCGAGTGGTTTACGAAGCAACGAGTTGTCGCTCTGTTTGTCTGCAACGATCGAGTGGTTTTGTGGGTTCAAGAAGGAGCGAGTTCTCTCTCTTCTTCTCTGCAACGATTTGTGATTTCTGGGTTTTGAAAGTAGCGAGGGAGTTCTTTCTCTCACTCACTGTCCAACAATTGTTCGAATTTTGGGTTTTGGAGTCGAGAATCGAGAATGGCGTTGTCCACTCGAAATCGAAAGCGTAAACAATTGGGGGATGGCGTTACTCCGTTTGAGTTTCCGTTTCAGACCCAGAAGATCAAGAGGGTTTCTAGGGTTTTTGAGACCCAACAGAATTTAGCCGTGGAGAAAAAGCCGACTACTTCTCTTCCTCTGCGCAAGGGTTTGTCGCGTTGAGAAATTTGAAGTCAACGCTTGGTTATCACATCAATTGAAGTATATGTCCCCAAAAATTAGTCATGCGCGTTGCACATGATGGAAACTAGCGGAAAATTGTAACAAAGCTGAATAGTCGAGCCTATTTTTTAGTAGTTGTGGAATAAAGTAAGAAATACATCACGGCCCAAAGAAATCAGCCATTGGCTATTAGAACCGGCAATAGTGACAATGGTAATCGACAAAGGTGGGAGGTAGCAAAGTGGAAGAAAATGTAGCTAGCCAACATTACTTTCCAATTTTTTAAATTTTATTTTAACACAAATGCCCTTAAATTAATAAGTCGCGTTATTGATGGTCAATTATTCATGATATTTTTATTACCATCACTGATAGAAGTTTTAGGTAGATTGATTTTGATTTTTTTTTTTCAATTGATTTTCTTTAATTTATCAAGGTATTTTACCATCCATCCATGGCAGAAGTTTTACATAATTAAAATTGTTTTGAATTTTCACTTCTTTTTTTTAATCATAGACAAACTTTCCAATTTTTCTTTTTAAACACAAATTTCCTTAAATTAATATAAATGAATAAAGCTTTTAAATTTTGGGTGATGGGTCTGAAAATATTTTTTTGATTTGTAAATAAGTAAATCAAACTTTTTAATTTTGTGTTTCTTATTTTACCTTTTAATTTTGTGTTTCCTATTCCTATTCCATTTGGGAATAGGAAAGAAAATATATATATTTTTTAATTCCATGTTTACGCGTGGCTTTTTAACTTTATGACGCGTATTACTGATACAAGTTTGTTTCACAAAGCTTCAGTACCAGCCAAGTCACAGCACAGCACCGACCTTCATTTTGAACATAAAAAAGAAGACCGTTAGCGCCAGAACGCATACATTCCCCTCCTTTTATCGTCTCTTTCTTTCTCTCGCTCTGTTTCTCTGCGAACCCTAAATCCTGAACACCACACTGCACTCCTTAGTTTCCAAAACTCTCTCTTTCTTTCCCATTCTCTCTGTTCTCTGCAACGAGCGAGGCGAGTTTTGGGTCGAGTGGTTTACGAAGCAACGAGTTGTCGCTCTGTTTGTCTGCAACGATCGAGTGGTTTTGTGGGTTCAAGAAGGAGCGAGTTCTCTCTCTTCTTATCTGCAACAATTTGTGATTTCTGGGTTTTGAAAGTAGCGAGGGAGTTCTTTCTCTCACTCACTGTCCAACAATTGTTCGAATTTTGGGTTTTGGAGTCGAGAATCGAGAATGGCGTTGTCCACTCGAAATCGAAAGCGTAAACAATTGGGGGATGGCGTTACTCCGTTTGAGTTTCCGTTTCAGACCCAGAAGATCAAGAGGGTTTCTAGGGTTTTTGAGACCCAACAGAATTTAGCCGTGGAGAAAAAGCCGACTACTTCTCTTCCTCTGCGCAAGGGTTTGTCGCCCAAACAGGTAAAGACCATCCCTTTGGCTTCGTCTCCTAGAAAGCATAGAAAATCGGAGGAGTTAGGTTTTGATGGTCTCTGTCTGACCCAGAAGATCAAGAGGCAAAAACTAGGTTTTGAGTTTGATTGTTCTGAAATTTTGGGGTGTCTGATGAACCTCCGCCATGTGAGTAAGTACTTTGAGAAGCCTGTGGTTGATCCGGTTTATTTCCACCACATCTGGAGGCCGATGGATTTCGGTACTGTGAAATCCAAATTGGAGAGGGGTGTCTACTCCAGCCCTGATGGGTTTGCTGCTGATGTGAGGCTTACCTTGTCAAATGCTTTAAGATATTATCCGCTTGGGAGTGTTGAGTGTGCAGCAGCCAAGCGTCTTAGTGGTGTTTTTGAGAGCAAGTGGAAAGAAGCCCTGGAGAAAAACCCCAAGTCTGTTTGTCCTTCTCATCTTCCCAAAGTCAAGGGTTTGGCAGTGTTACCCAAACAGGGCAAGACCTCTTCTCCTTCTAGCGTTCTTCAAAGTCAAGGGCTTGGTGTTTCTGATTCTCAGTCAGTTGATTCAACCAAACACGATGAGTTGGCCACCCTTGTTGATAATGCCATGGATCAGGCCTCAGAGAATGTTTCCCAATGTAAGGCTGTCCAAATTCATGCACTAAAGCTACGATTTTCAGGTACATTATTGAAAGCAAACAAGATACTTAAGGGTGTACCTGATTCTCCACCAAGGAGAAAATCGATGCAGCGGATGAAGCAAAGGGAGTCGGCTCGCCGGGCCATTTCGAACATGAAGCAGTCAGTGCAATTTGAGGACCCTTTACAGGATCTCAAACAACTTGAGATGCTGTGTGGCTGTGGCAGTGAAGATCCTTTTCTTCAGGTCCGCCTCGGATTGCCGCTTAAGAAATTGGGTGTATTCCTTAGGGAAGATGATGAGTTGCAAGGCCAGGACGAGGAGGCCTTTTTGAATGGAGATTGGGAGGAAGGAGAGATCTGGTGGGAGGAAGGCGAGATCTGCTCTTGAAGTATAGAAACTGGCCACCTTGGCTCTGTTATTTGTTGTATATGATATGATGTATAGGTTACAGTTTTCACTTTGTAATTGATTGATTAGCAATTCTTTAATTTCTAAGAATAAAGAAATTGAGGATGTGATTCTGAATGAACAAATTTGTTCCAAGTTGAATGATATTATTGAAGTTTCTATTTCTGTTTGTTCTCTAATTGGAATTTGTTTCTGGCTCTATATTTTCTATCTGTTTGGGGAAGTTGGTTCCTGTGTTAAAACAGCATACTGGCTCTAAAGTGGAAACTATTACTTTCCAGGTAAAGTTTGGCCATATACATTATACATTATACAGACATGCCAAAAAAAAATTCCTCTGCCTAGCGTATTGTACATCTTTTAATTAGGCATGCCAAAAAAAAATTATATGCTAGAACACACAAGTATGTGCTGTGTAATTGATTCCTTGTATTATAGACTACAAATCCTGAAACCAAAAACTTAACTCCACAAGTTCAAGAGAAAAGTCCATATCATGTAGAATAACAGAAATATAAATGGAACTGAATTTGTTTGTATTCAAGATCAGTGACAGTGATGTAGTTTCCTGGACAATAGAGCCATTAAAAATAACTAGCTTCTTTGGTTGACAAACAACATTGTTTTGATAGTATTTTCAGTAAGATCACAATCGATTTGTAAATGTAGGTTCACAGCTTTGATGGACAGGTTAAGTAGACAGAGAAAGATTCCAGCTGCATTATAAGCAATCTGTTAATAATCGTTAATATATATTCGGAATAAGGTACTGCATACCTTGCGGAAGATTCCAAGTGAAAAACCGCTTGCAATTACTAGCCCGCCGAGATGCTTCCACGTCACGAACACGCCAACAAGATTCTACACGTTCTTCGTCTCCAAGGTCGTTGGATTGGCTATGAAAGTTACTCCATTGATTCCACGTACCCAAGACCAAGGCTCTTGGTGAATTGCCTAAAGGAGAGTGTTTAGGGAGATATGAGGTTTCTCTCTTTGTGGGTGTAAAACTCACTACAACTCTTTGATATGCACTCACACTTCTTGTCTCACACACACCAACTTAGAGAGTATGCACTAATGCTTCTCATCATCTCTTCACTTGCACACACTCCATCTATTTATAGGAGTTGTCTTAGCTCATCTCAAGAGAGCATAAAACATACACTAGTGCTTAAGTTGGTAGTGCCTTAAAACAAGGTTTAGTGCCTTAAAACAAGGATTAGTGTAGTGCCATAAAACAAGGCTAAGTGCCTTAATTTGTGTAGTGCCATAAAACAAGGATTAGTGCATAATCATTGTTTTATTACATCTCCCACTCACCCACATAGGGTGTGATAACTTGTTTTATTACACAATCCATAAAACAACAAGTTTCTGATATTTCCAGAGTCCAACTCTCTTCCTCCGATTTCCTTGCACCCAAATAAAAATGTAGAGAAAAACTTAACTCTTGATCTTAAGAGGTCGATATCTTGCTGAAACTTAATGACTTTTAGTGTCTTAAACTACTTCACAAGGTTTCGCCATCAGTTATAAGACTGAGTTATATATCAGATTTCCGCACTATATTATTTTTACAGTATGCAGGGTTATTGGATAAGATAGATCACAATCGAACTTGGGCAACGGGATTACAATAGTTTTGTATCAAGTGTGAGTTTTCTTCCGTCAGTTCCCTAGCTTCTTATTAGAGCATTAATAGCATTGTTTAGAATAAAATACTTTAGGTAAAATTGAACTTAAACCCTAAGGGCTTGTCTCTGTTTACCTGTGACCCGTTATTCAAAATTTTCAGAATGTACTATTTCATTCCACTTAAAAAGTGACTGGTTTGTTAAAAAGACAAATCAAATTTTCATGCTCAACCTTCTCATTCAGCCAACAAACAAACAAAATCCAGATTCAGACACCAAGCAAGCAAACAACAATCAATTCAGAAGCAGCATAGAACACAAACACAAAGGATGAAAAGTGTACTTTTGTTTCAAATTTGAACACATAAGTGATGAAAAAAAGGGAAAAAAAGGTCTCCATCAACGATATTGGAGCAAAAACACAGTAACAATAATCAAGTTTAGGAAATACCAACTCAACGGAGGGCCGTCTTTGATCAACTTTTCCTGAAACTTGTCCCAGACCTATATGCTTTTAACTCCTGAACCACACTTTCAAGCCTTCTAAACCTAACTTCAAGCTCTGAATCTCGTTTCTCAAACTCCAATAGACCTTTCTCAAATAAAGAGCTACGGCTATGACATTCATTTCCGACGATGCTTACCATGTCCGTATTGAATTTTTTCTCTGAAATTGGAGATGCCAATTGGACTTTACCTGATAATAATTTCTCACTGTCACCATCTTGTCTAATCTCCAAATTTCGATGCTTCTTAGTACTACAATGTTTCAAAAATTCTGATACAGTTAGCTTATCTTCATTTATAGGAGCTTCCATCCTGTCCCATTTGGGAGGGAAACTAGGAGGTGCAGGGGTGTGGTTAGCCCTTAGTAGTGAGCAATTGACACTCTGATCTTTCTTTTCCTGTGGCACAGCAGCTTCATTTGCATCTTCGAGACCTAACACTGATTGCTTCCACCATTTCAAGTACTTTGTGCTAACATCCGCCTCGAAGAGCCTAGGTGGAAGATACAACTTAACATTCTTGATTTCCCTGTTGTAATGCTTCCAGGCTACATCAGAATTGCGATGACGGGTAACAGAGCATGGAAGTTCTTGATCAAATCCAAATTGCATAGCAACGCGATGCGGAAGGTAGTGTTCTATAGTACCAAGTCCTACTAGCTCACTGACCCTCAAGCATCTAACAAAGGACAGTAATTCATCATTCAAATCTGGACCAACCAACACCCACTTTTCTTTCTGTGGATAATAGTTAGGCAAATGCCAGTTCTCCATGGCCATGGCATAGGGGCGCCACATGAAATCTTCTCCAGCTGAGTCCAAAACCATTCTCAAGTTTTTTACTTTGAGACCAACAACTCCTTCCCATCGCGCCATTCTTGGCTCAGTATAATCAATAACATTGGGCTTTGGCCTAAGTTCCGAGAACCTTTCCCATGCCCAAACCTGAACTAATTGAAATGGTGACCTAAGAATAGCCTCTGAAGTAGCACGACCTCTTTTCAATTGGTTTGAAGCTACGATTTTCCTTTTCAACAAACCCAAATCTCTATAAATGCTAGCAAGAACAGCAGGTGCAAGGGCAATTCTGGTCCCCCTAGCTAAATGAATTGCAATGGATACAGCTTGCTTATGTATTCCACAAATAGAACCTTGAAAAACAAACTTTGACAACCATAAGGCAAGAAAAGCTTCATGCTCGAATTCGGTCCCACTGTTCCTGAACTTCTTCAACCATTCGCTTGCAAGAACATGCCTAGACACAGCCCTGTAAGGTGTTCTTCTTTCTCTATCTAGTTTCTCCTCAATTTCTTTCGATTCTGTGGTTTCAAGTGGGCTTAAAACAGAGTGCCCCAAAACCGAGAAACCTCCTAAAACCATAACATCCTCCAACGTGATTGTTGCTTCGCCCCATGGAAAAATGAAGGAATTGGTCTCAGGGCACCATTTCTCAGCAAACCCACAAGCCAAATCGCCTTGCCTTCTTATTTCGTACCTTGAACTAAGAATTGCTTCATAAATACCAGCTTTCTTCCATGTAGATTCGTGTACAGAAGCTAAGCGGTCGACCCAAGTTATGAAGTCTTCTGAGAGCTTACGCCATCCTGGAAATTTAACCTCCAAAGGCCATTTCTTCTTTGGCTCAAAATGGGATGGGAGGGAGGAGAAACAATGAGGCAGCTTCAAAGGAGGTTCCTTTGCGGAGGATGGCAAAGTGGGTTTGAGAAAGTAGGCTTTTCTGAGAAATGGGTGTCCACCAGTTGGTGAAACCATGTACTCTTCTCTCTCTTCAACCATGGAGTCTTGAGGAACCTCCATGACCAAAGCTCAATCTTGAACACAAAGGGAAATGGGGGGATTTTTCTTTTCTTCTTTTGCTGAGAAAGTTTTGGTCTTTTGGGGGTTTAGGGGCTGATGCAGTTGTATGCTGGTATGCTGTGAAATGGGGTTTCCATTGATGGAATAAAACAGAGTTTACGTGAGTAAGACAGATTAATCTGTCCGGTCCGAAACAGCAAAATGAGGGTTTCTGCTACGTTGTTGCATGAAGGCTCAGCTCAGTGGAGAACGTCCAATCAGAATCTGCCGTCTGTACCAAGCAATACTGGGTTGCGTGAAGACTATGCCTGCCATTCTCTTTTTTCCTTTTTTCTGTTTTTCTTTGGGTAAGACTATGGTTGTGTTTGACAGATTGTTACAAATATAATGGATTTGAGTAGTTAAAATGTAGTTTTTTTTATGCGTAGTTAAAATGTAGTTAGATGATTGGATTAGTTCATTTTCTGTGACGCCCGTAAAGATCATTTTTACAAAAAAAAAGAAACAAAAAAAAAAAAAAAAAAAAAAAAAAAAAAAAAAAAAAAAAAAAAGAAATCGTTTAGTCATTAAATTATTATGAAATAAATAGGCAAACCTAAATTTTTGATTGAACACTAAAATTATGATACTATTTAACGATTTCACGAATTTGTTATGTTTTTGCAAAAATGCTATTTCACGCATTTTGGGTGTCATAGAAAATAGGTGGCTATGATCTTCAAACAAACATTTCCCTACAGATTTAGAAGGGGAAGGGTAGAATATGGAGGTACAAAGGAAAAGGTGACTAGCATTTCCCTGTAGATTTTGTAATTGATCCATTGTATTATAAACTATAATTTCGGAGGAAGTTGATAAACGTAACTGAATTATGTTGCATTCAGGAATGGGTATTAGAATTATTTCAATTCCTTTTTTCCCTGTGTTTACTCCCATTCCCGACATGCCACTAACACATAAAGAATATAATAAAACTATGTGGGCTCCATGTTTAAATCCCTAATCAAATACTTGCCGATTCATGACTTCTCTCATTTTTAGTTAGTAAACATGCCATCAAGATCTGTGGACTCATGAATTATGTTTACAAGATCTGTGGACTCATGATTTCTGTTTACATGGTCAGAATATATGGATAAACACGGTGCCTGTGATATTGTTTGTTGGACATTAGAGCCATTAAAAGTAACATTTAACTTCTTTGATAGACAAACCACATTTTTAGTTTGCTCAGCAAGAGATCCTAATTACAAAATCTAGGCATATGTGTAGGTTCAAGGCTCTGCTAAACAGGTTAAGTAGTTACCAAAAGATTCCAGGATACGCAATGCATAGAATATGTACAAAAGACCAAGTTTCTGCTATTTCCATAGTTGGGTGCTCTTCCTACATTGTCCCTGCACCAGGTTTCGGACATACCAACTCATAGGAGGTCTTCTTTCATAAGCTTTTCCTAAAATATATATGCCCTTAACTCGTCAACAACGTTTTTAATCCTTTTAAATCTAGCTTCAAGCTCCGACTGACGTTTCTGAAATTCATCACGGACGAGGCTTACAATGTTCTCATCTGAATTCATGGTATTAACATAACTTTCTTGTGCAATTGGAGATGATGCAAAATGTTGAGCTTGACTTGATAATTTCCCACTGTCACTACCTTCTATAATCCCAAAGTTCTCATGCTTCTTACAGTATTTCAAAAACTCTGATACAGTTAGTTTATCCTCATCAATAGGATCTTCAGGTTCCATTCTTTTACGTTTGGGAGGAAAACCAGGCGATACTAACAATTTCACTCTCTTTGTTCTCTTTGTTCTCTTTTTTCGTGGCACAGCGACTTCTTCAAGACCTGAAACTGATTGCTTCCACCACTTCAAGTACTTTGTGCTAACATCTGCCTCAAAGAGCCTGCATGGAAGATACAACTTTACATTCTTGATTTCCTCGTTGTAATGCTTCCAGGCTATATCAGAATTGTGATTAGGTCGAGAAACAGAACACGGAAGGTCTTGATCATATCCGAATTGCATAGCTACGCGATGCGGAAGGTAATGCTCTATAGTACCAAGTCCAACTAGCTCACTGACCCACACGCATCTAACAAATGACAGTAACTCATCATCCAATTCAGGACCAACACAAACCCACTTTTCCCTGTGTGGATAGCATTTAGGCAAATTCCAGTTCTCAATGGCCAAGGCATAAGGGCGCCACTTGAAATCTCCTCCAGCTTTGTCTATAACCATCCTCAAGTTTTGAACTTTCGGGCCGTTTACTTTATCCCATCTAGCCATTCTTGGCTCTGCATAATTGATACCATTGGGCTTTGGCCTAAGTTCCAAGAATCTCTCCCATGCCCAAACCTGAACTAATTGAAATGGTGACTTAAGGACGAGTTCTATAAAAGCATCATCTATTTTCAACTGGTTTGAAGCTACAATTTTCCCTTTCAACAAACCCAAATCTCTATAAACACTCGCCAGAACAGCAGGCGCAAGGGCAATTCTGGTCCCCATAGCTAAATGAATTGCAATGGAGAAAACTCCGGTATGTATCATATAACTAGCACCAAGAAAAACATACCTGGACAACCAAAAGACAAGAAATGCTTCGTGCTCGAATTCAATACCACTGTTCATGAACTTCTTCTGCCATAAGTCTGTGGAAACGTCTTTTAACCCAGCACTCTTGCAAATCTCTCTTCGCAATTCAAGTAGTTTGTTTTGAATTTGTTTCAGTCGTGGGATTTCAAGAGGGCTCAAAACAGAGTCTCCCAAAACAGAATAACCCCCTAAAACCATAACATCCTCCAAGGTGATGGTTGCTTCACCCCATGGAAAAATGAAAGTATTGGTCTCAGAACACCATTTCTCAGCGAACCCATAAACCAAATCGTTCTCTCTTCTTATATGGTACGTTGAGTTAATGATTGCTTCGTATATACCAGCTTTCTCCCATGTGGGTTGGTGAACAGAAGCCATTTGACCAACCCAAGTTTTCCAATCTTCTCGGCCTGGCGGCCATCCGCGAAATTGAACCTTCAAAGGCCATTTGTTTGGCCCAGAATGTGATCGGAGGGAGGAGAAACAATGAGAGAGCTTCAAAGGAGGTTCATTTATGGAGGATGACGAAGTGGGTTTTAGAAAACAGGCTATTTTGAGAAATGGGTTTCCACCAGTTGGTGAAATCATGTACTCTTCTCTCTCTTCAACCATAAAGTCTTCTGGATTCTCCATCAAAGCTCAAGAAATTGGGAGTTTTTCTTTTTTCTTTTTTCCCTGAGAAAGTTTTCGGCTTTTGGGTTTAGGTTAAGGGGAAATGTTTCTGGGTAATTTCTGCTGTAAAATGGGGTTTGAAAATGTTTTGATGAGTAGAGAAAATGATTTGACGGGTTCAATTTCCATTGATGGAATAAAAACAGAGTTTGTATGAGAAAGAAGCATAACTATTCTGTTTTTGGTTTGGTCCGAAACAAACGATATGAGGGCTGCTCTATTCTGCTTCATAAATGCTTAGCTCAGTGACAAACGACCAATTATAATTTTCCACGTCGACGGTTTCTGCCTTCTGCGCGAAGGAAGGAGCACTGTGAGAGACGGGACTTCATTTTTCTTTCAAAATATCTCGTGCTACATAGGCCTTTTCATCTTTCATTTCTACTTTCTTTATATAAGAAAATGTAATTCAGTTTTCAGTTTTTGTTTTTGTTTTCATTTTTTTTCACTCATATTTCATTCATTAATTTTACATTACGATATATGAAATACATTCTAATCAAAATTTGATATTTGGGACCTCCCGACTTGGACACACTCAATTCTTGTGTTTGGCCACGGACCCAATCCAAACCTCATCAACTCCATCTCCAAAATTCACCAAAAAATCATCATAATTCCAAAAAGTTCACCGAAAAATACTACGAACTGTTTGTAACATGCACTTTCATTCTATGATCTCAAATTCACAATTTGATCCCAAAAACTTTCATTTCCAAGTTTCACATAAAACTAAAAACTGAAAAAATTGAAATAAGTTACCAAACAACTTGTGTTCATTTTTCACTTCACAATTTTTTTGAAAATTGAAATTAGTTACCAAACAAGTTTTCAGTTTTTCAAAAATGAAAACTAAAAACTAAAACTGAAATGGTTATCAAACGAGCCCTAAATAAATAAAAAATTGTTGGAGATAAAATATTTGAATGGGTATTTGCTTTTGAAAAATAAATAAATAGATAGTGAATGAGTAGTTTTATTTTATTTTATATATAAACGATATTGAGAGAGGGAGGAATCAAAGGTTCTCAAATGCACAAAATAAATGCTTTTAACCAATTAAGCTACAAGTCCTTCCAATGGTTGCTTTTTATGCATTCTTCTGAAAAGGAAAAAACTTAGTGATGCCATTGTGTACGGACAGATCAGTATTGCAAGAATAGGAAATCAGCAAACTTACCAAACAATATAAGTAAAAGAAAATAAGTGGTTCGGCAGTGTGTTTACATTGTGATTCTTGGTTTTAAAGTTCCTCTCCTAACTATTGAATTGATTTTTTCTTTTTCTTTTTTGAACTGCAAAAGCATTTGATAGAAACGGAGGTGCACAGTTTCAAACCACAAAACCATTGAAATTTGTAACTAGAAAAAACATAGTTGCACCATTCAGTTGTTTCGAAAAGTTTACAACAGTATCCAAGAGCTGCTGGAGAAATTACATCAATACTTACTTAGATTAAGAAGCTTCGTGCCACGAAAATACAGAAGACAAGAATTCCTGAAACCACCACCAAAAAATTCAACTCCACAAGTTCAGAAGATAGTTGAATAACAAAGGTGGAATCAAGAATTCTGTTTTCATGGTCATTAAACAAAAAACCTATTAACTTCTTTGGTTGACATAGCACATTGTTAGGTAGTATGTTCAGTAAGATCGTAACTACAAAATCTGTTGGACTATGTGCTATGTAGGTTCAAGGCTTTGATCAACAGGTTAAGTTGTTACCAAAAGATTCCAGCAGCGGCACCATTCAGTTGTTTCGAAAACTGAAGTTTACAACAGTATCCAAGAGCTGCTGGAGAAATTACATCAATACTTAGATTAAGAAGCTTCGTGCCACGAAAATACAGAAGACTAGAATTCCTGAAACCACCACCAAAAAATTCAACTCCACAAGTTCAAAAGATAGTTGAATAACAAAGGTGGAATCAAGAATTCTGTTTTCATGGTCATTAAACAAAAAACCTATTAACTTCTTTGGTTGACATAGCACATTGTTAGGTAGTATGTTCAGTAAGATCGTAACTACAAAATCTGTTGGACTATGTGCTATGTAGGTTCAAGGCTTTGATCAACAGGTTAAGTTGTTACCAAAAGATTCCAGCAGCGTTATAAGCTATGCATAGAATATATACAAAAGACCAAGTTTCTGATATTTCAAGAGTTTGATTCTCGTCCTCCATTTTCCCTGCACCAGAAAAAGAAAAACCAGTAACATGCGATTTGAAGAGGTTGATTCCATATTTCAACAAAAATACAATGCAACTGTAATGTGGAAGCAAATAAGATTCCGTTGTCAACTAGCAAATACCGATCGATATAGGAAGAAAACGGTAAAAAAAAATATGAAATGCAATTAACACTGATTTTATACATAAGTAGAAGTTTAATGACTTTGTGTGTGTCAAAATACTTCACAAGGTTTCATCATTTGTGAGTTTTCTTCTGTCAGTTTCCTAGCTTCTTTGAGCATAAATAGCACTGCTTAGAAGAAAAATCTTCTAACTAGAAGTGAACATTAACCTAAAATTGCTTGTCCGTTAACATGCGATCAGTTGTTCACTATTCAGAATGTTGAGATTTTTCATTCTACTGAAACAGTTAATCAAGTTTGTATGTTCAACCTTCTCATTCAGCGAACAAACAAAGAGAATCCAGATTCAGACAAGTGAGCAAACAAAAATCAAGTCAAATCATAGCTTTTTTGTGCAATTGGAGATGCAAAATGTTGAGCTTGACTTGATAATTTCTCACCATCACTGCATTGTATAATCCCCAAGTTCTCATGCTTCTTGCGAAATTTCAAAAGCTGTGATACAGTTAGTTCATCCTCATCAATAGGATCTCCAGCTTCCATTCTTTTACGTTTGGGAGGAAAACCAGGAGGTTCAGAGGGGTGGTTAGCCCTCGAAAGCAAACATTTCGAATTCTTTGTTCCCGTTTTTTGTGGCACAGCAGCTTCCCTTGCATCTTCAAGACCTGACACTGATTGCTTCCACCACTTCAAGTACTTTGTGGTAACATTAGCCTCCACAAGCCTAGATGGAAGATACAATTTTACGTTCTTGATTTCCTTGTTGTAGTCCCAGGCTGTATCCGAATTGTGGTTAGCTCGAGTAACAGAACATGGAAGGTCTTGATCATATCCAAATTGCATAGCGACCCGGTGTGGAAGGTAATGCTCTATAGTATAGAGTCCAACTAGCTCACTGGCCCTCAAGCATCTCACTAATGAGAGCAATTCATCATCCAAATCAGGTCCAATCAAAACCCACTTTTCCTCTTGTGGATAGTATTTAGGGATATGCCAGTTATCAGTGACCAAGGCATAAGGGCGCCACAGGAAATTTTCTCTGGCTGAGTCTAAAACCCTTCTTAAGTTTTCAACTCTCACACCCTTCACTTTATCCCATCTAGCCATTCTTGGCTCATAAGAGTTTATAGGATTTGGGTTTTCTGGCTTAAGTTCTGAGAATCTTTCCCATGCCCAAACCTGAACTAAATGAAATGGTGACTTCAGCTTCAGGGTGAAATCTAATTCCTTTGAGCCTACAATTGCCTTTTTCAACAAGCTCAAATCTTTATAAATGCTAGCAAGAACGGCCGGTGCAAGAGCGATTCGGGTCCCCCTAGCTAAATGGATTGCAACAGAGAAAACAGAATTCTGTATTGAATTACGAGAACCAACAAGGACAAACCTCGACAACCAAAAGGCAAGAAACGCTTCGTGCTCGAATTCATTCCCACTGTTCATGAACTTCTTCACCCACAAGTTTGTGGTAACCTCTCTAGTCCCACTGTTGTAAATTTCTTTTTGCCCCTCAATGAATTTCTCTTCGACTTCTTTCATTTGTTTGCTCTGAAGAGGGCTTAAAACAGAGTCCCCCAAAGCCGAGAAACCTCCCAAAACCATAACATCCTCCAATGTGATGGTTGCTTCACCCCATGGAAAAATGAAAGTATTGGTCTCAGAACACCACTTCTCAGCAAACCCAATAACCAAGTTGGCTACTTTTCTTATTTCGTATGTTGAACTAATGATGGCTTCTTGTATACCAGCCTCCTTCCATTTTTTATGATGCACAGAAGCCATTTGATCAACCCAAGTTTTCCATTTTTTTTGGCTGGCGCTGGATCGCCATCCATAGTACTCAACCTTCAAATGCCATGTCTTACGTTTAAAATGGGTTGGGAGGGAGGAGGAAAAGCAACGAGGGAGCTCAAAGGGAGGTTCATCAATGGAAGATGACCAGGTGGGTTTTAGAAAGTAGGCTTTTTCACGAAATGGGTTTTCTCCCGTACGTGAAATCATGTACTCTTCTCTCTCTTCAACCATGGTCTCCGGTGGACTCTCCATCACCAAAGCTCAAGACTTTTCTCGTTTTTTTTTTGTCTGAATCAAAGCTCAGTATTAAACAGAAAAGAACAAATTGGGTTTTGAAAATTCGTTCCATTTCCATTTAACTTCTTTATTGAGAAATATGAAAAGTGGTTGGTTTGACGGGTCCAGTTTCCATTGATGGAATCAAACTGAGAAAGGCGGGAGGCTATTTTGTCTGCTCTGGAAGACTGAAACAATGATATGACGCCTCCTGTCACGTAAATGAAGGTTCAATCATAATCGTCCACCGTTTAGCAGACTTCCGGCTTCTGCACAAGGGAAAGGAACACTGAAACGCGGCTTCCCCCACCATTTAAATAGAAGAAAAACTTAGTTACAACGGATATTTTTGTTATCCCGGCCAATACTGTTGTGCCATGTGGAAGTGTTATAACACATGTCATAGCGTTATTAGCCGAGATAGCAAAATAGTGATATTTCCATTTCATAGAAGTCTTTCTCTTCAAAGAGAAAATGCTTGGTTACTTTTTTACAAGTAAAAATATTAAATGCTTGAATTGATGGCTGTCTTGAACTATTTGATTGTTGCTATCCCCTTGCATTATTACTTCTAACGAAAATAAAAAAATAAAAATATTGCATTATTGCTCCGGAAGAAAAATGAAATAAAATTTTATAGTTATTTTAGGAGCCATCATTAGTAACTTTCTGAATAGTTATTTGATAGTTATTTGTATTCTATAATCACTTCCCAGAGAGAGTGGCAATGCTACACTTTTTTTTTCCCAACTAAATTGACATTATCACTTTTATTTTTTTTGGAGAAAGAGAATTCATTTATAAAACCAAAGGTGTATAAAGAGTCACACGATACAGTGATCTAGTTAAAACCTTTCTAAGACAACCTCATGGGACAAACCCTAAGAAAGGAAAAAGTATCACACATGTCATGGTCTTGTTATCACATTGAATTCTACAACTTGGGATTCTAATGAAAAAATCTATAAGAGCATTCACAATGAGCTCTCTAAACCACCTCTTTAGTTAAAATTTAGAGAGGAATGAAAAAAACTCACCTCCAATCATGCTCCCTATCCAGCTCCTAAAATAAGGAGACCTTTATGAGCTCCTAAATCTGAGGAGAGAGAAAGGACTTCTAGTGACTCTCTATAATTAAATGCTACTATATTTTATTAATATATATTTTTTCCAATTCTTTTCACTGTATACATTTAGCAGCACACAAACACCCTAAAACCCTAAACCATAGAATTGTTTTTGTAGTTTATTATTTGGGAATATTCAGTATTTGAATATGAACATTTTATTGCAAATCAAGAATTAAATTTAAAAAGAAGTAAAGTATTTATGACAATAAGAAGTAAAACATTTATGACTCTCCAAATTAGGGAGTATGGTTGGAGTTGAAATTTTTTAGAGAGCTCTTAAAATAGCTTTTTTGTGTTTTTAGCTAAATTTTAGCTAAGAAATAGGGAGCATGATTGTGGATGCTCTAATGAGGATTGCTAGCTATCTTCTCTAATATTCTAATATTGCATTTACTGTCTTGCCTTTCTCATTCAGTTTGTGTCACGTGTATTCCACTCACACATAAATATATGTATTTAATGTACAGTACTGATTTTTTGTTTGCAAATAGAACAAAGAGTTTCTTAATACATTAATGGCTTTTTATCACAAATGGTCTCTGAGGTTTGCGAAATTATCACATTTCGTCCCTAATGTTTTTTTGTGACACTAATGGTCCTTAAGGTTACCATCTACACATCAAAATGGTCCATACCGTTAGCTTCTGTCAAATTTTCTGTTAAATTGCTGACGTGGCATGTGTGTGGAGCCCACACATCCAATGATATAAAGCCACGTGGCTTTAAATAAAATAAATAAATAATTTAAATATTTTAAAACTTTGAATCCAAAAACAAAAAACAGGGGATGCAAGGAGGAAGGGAGAGGTAGAGGGAGAGAGAGAAAGAGAAGGAATGAAGAGGAGGGAGAGAGAGGCAAAAGGTGGGTCTGCTAGGAGGGAAAGGGTGCTAGCAGAGTGAGAGTTATTTTAGCAGGGAAGAAGGAGACTGTTTCCTTAAGTATCCAACAGGCAGCGAGGTTTCGAACCGAGCTCCTAAGAAGGGGTATTCTTTTAGTTCCTGTCATCTGGGATGAAGTTAGGGCACCTCAAATAGAGAAGAAAGGCTTCGGTGCACCTTCAAAGGTAGCTGCGGCTCTTCCTTCCATTAGGGTAAGTCGCAGAGTCTCCCATCTATAGTTTGCTTGCAAGCATCATCCTTCTAGAACTAGGTGAATTTCCTAAACAAGCTTCATATTTCAATAATTTACTTCATTCTTCACACAATCTAATGGCTCCATGGTAGGAAGAATTCGACAAACGAACTCAATCTATAACTGCAAAGTCAAAGTTAAAAGCTGAAATTCGGTTCGTGGCAGAGTGAGAGTGCAGGTTTTTTTTAAAAAAATTATTTTTTTATTTAAAGTTTTTAAATATTTTTATTTTATTTAAAGCCACGTGGCTTTATATCATTGGATGTGTGGGCTCCACACACGTGCCACATCAGCAATTTAACAGAAAATTTGACGGAAGCTAACGGCAGGGACATTTTGATGTGTAGATGGTAACCTTAAGGACCATTTGTGTCATAAAAAAACGTTAGGGACGAAAGGTGATAATTTTGCAAACCTCAGGGACCATTTGTGATAAAAAGCCTACATTAATACATAGGTTTATGTGGGAGTGGAATACACTTGACATAAACTCAATAGAGAAGGCAATAAGGGAAGAGTGCTGCTAAATGAACCCTAAAATTAACTGAGTACACCCTATGATCTAAGTGCACCCTAATATTTAAATTAAAATGTAAAATTAACTAAGTACACTCTATTTAACTACCAAAAATACCCATAGTACACTCTAATACACTCTATCTTGCCAAAAAAAAAAAAACCAACAACATTCATCGATCTCCCTATGATCCCTTTTTCTCCGTACTTTGATTCTCAAAATTTTTAACTGTACAATCTGGACAATATTGTTCCTTTTGATATATCCTAAATCTAACTAATGATACAAAAACGTTCTCATAATTTTTTATTTATTTAATGAATCCAATATCTAAAACCAAAAAACAACTCTGATTGCCTTCTTAGTCAGGGGTTGACAAGGTTAGGCTATCTGTAGTCTCTGTCTTTTTTTCAATGAAATCTTTGATTCATGACCACCCAAAAAAAAAACAACTGATTGCCTTGCTTGCTGATATAAGCCCCAATATGATTCGTGTGGCTACTTTTGAGGAGGGAAATTGGAGAAAACAAGTTTTTACAAGGAGCTTCAAATATTTTAGGGAATTTTCTGAATTGAAAGATGAGAAAAATGAAAAAATTATAAGTTTGGAGAAGAAGAGTGATTGAAAGGAGAAGAGGCTCTGCTAGGCTTGGTTTTGAGAGATAAAAGAGTTCGGTTGTCCAAATGCTAAGATGGAGAAGAAGAGAAGTGTAGGGAAAAATATGTGGTGTCATGTTTTAGATGGTTTTTAAAAAGTGCTGCTAAACGAACCCTAAAATTAACTGAGTACACCTTATGATCTAAGTACACCCTAAAAATATGTGGTGTCATGTTTCACAATTCATATATATCCTTTTTAGTCATTTTATATTAGGGTAAATTAGTAATCCAATAAATTCTTTGATAGTAGGGTGTACTTAGTTAATTTTAGGGTTCGTTTAGCAGCACTCTAAGGGAATATAACTAGCATTCCTCATCTTTAATACTCCGATTTCTTTTCCAACCTATGTGACATTAATTTACACTACATTGTTGCATTGAAAATGTAGACCCCAATCTGGCATTATTAACCTTTTTTTTAATCCTGAGCAAAATAATTTTAATGGTGACACATTGGTTGGGATAAAAAGCTGAGAATATTAGCATTGTTTCCAATGCTAATATAGGTGGATATTAAGTATCTGCTTTTTTTCCTTCTCAACGTTCTAGTATATAATGGTTGTACATGATTCATAATTTCATGAGTCCCATATCGTCTGATAGATGAGCAATGCTATACTTTCCAAAAAAGATTTTCGCAACCAACAAGCATGACATCACGTTGGATTTTACAAAATGAGATGGGAGTGAAACATAAAGGATACTAGCAGTTCATCAATGTTCTGATTTGTAATTTGTAAAGCCATGTAGAATAAAATCATGGAGTGAACAGGTAGTGCAAATTTAATTTGATTTTTGGTGATTTTACGCAGGGTCCTCTGCAACTTCTGTTGCGAATGGTGTAACGGCACTGTGGCTAGCCCATCTTTGTTCTTGTAAGGCCATCTTCAGCCATAGGGCTAAATGTAGTCCATGGTTAAAAATTTAGCCCTCCACAATATTAAATTTTTAAAGAATAGTGCATGGCTAAATTTTTCCATCTCCAGCCATACATGGCTATATTTTAGGGTCCTTCATATTTTATTATTTTGAGAAAAACTATGGTACAACACTTATACATTCCACAACTATGTATTGTTTAATTTAATTAAACTGCTATTTAGAGACAATATTCCATTACTAAGAATTTTTTTTAACACTTGAAAATATTTAAAAAGGTAACCACATTTAAATATATATAAAAAAAGGATGGGTTTCAATGGTCTGACCTCCAACGGTCATGACTAGTAATTTTTTATAATTTTTTTATGAATTGAAAACATTTAAAAAGGTG